TGTAGGATCAAAGGATTTGAACCGGTTACAAAATACAACAGTTAACTTTTGATTGTAACTATTAATACTATTCTCTCTATGTTATCTGTTAAAACTAAATTTTGATTGTACTTAAGGTAAAAGAAACAGTGAGTGGGTTGATATAAAGTCACATGACTATTTATTACATCTTTCTAATATCAACAAGTTGATATGTTTAGCTATGTGCTTTTTAGGACGAAATTCACGTTCTGGATTCCATAACTATCCACTATTCATCTTTGCTTATATGCTTTTTATGTTCTAGAAAGTTTGAAATTGAACTGTCACTATTTTTATACTGTATTTAAGGAAGTCTATTTAATTAGTTGCCTTTTTTCTTTGATTAAAAGATTTGAAGAGGTGAATAATTTAGTTTGAGATCGGTTTTCTCTACATTCTGAAATTCATAGAACAACCATTGAAAATCAAGGAGTAATAGATAATAGTTTCATTTGAATTCAGGACTGCTGTATAGCAAGTACTAGAACAACTATTAAATTTATCAGGGAACTATCACTCACTACGACTGTTGAACCGATTTTTTAATCATAGATTAATTCTTAAGTACAGTACTCGTAACCTGAGTACCTACGGACAAGAATTGCTTTATGAGATCGATCAGCACAGAATACAAAGTGAGACTGAATGCTTGTCAATGCAATTACGCTAACTACTCAGAAAATGAAGTAGAATACTTTCTTCATAACAATTTTATTAATATACGCCTCAAGTGCGAATGAATTTATTTTTATTGTGTCAAATGATGGGAAAAACGTAACTAGCATTACTGATCAAGTTATCTGTAAGGATTTCACTTTCAGTCTCAGCACAAAAACGAGTTATAATTAGGATCGAGTTAATTCCTTTTCATTCCCAGTCTTCAGATATTTACTTATAAATCCTGAATGTAAGGTATGAAGTGTGGAAGAAGCTTTAATTAACTTATATACAGAAAAATCGGGAATTACAGTATCATGGATGACTTTAGACTCCTAGAAGTGTCTGAAAAATAAGTTAAAGTTAGAAATAAATTCAGTAACTGTTCAATCAAGAAATTAAAACATGATTCGTCGTTTTCTAGAATCCTCTTGCAAGTTCCCAAGGGACATTGATTAGTCGTAGCATTTCTAAAATTCTTAGAATTTTATTCTTTAGCCAAAACTAAACAGGTGGTTAGTGTGTTGGTGATATTGAGTTTTCACAGCTGGATGGCATAATTGATCTAATTTTCTCGAAAACTCTTTATGACTGACAAACTAGATTAACCAGACGTAAATATTCTTCTTTAATATTTTACCGCACACAGTTGCTTTCTCATACTGTTATACATTTTATATGAAAATTATATTCTGAAATAATCCCAGCGATTGAAAATTAAAAGAATTCTGACGTTTCGTTCAGCAAACTTGCCAGAACGTCTTCAGGGTAATAACCTTGATCATTAATTTTGATTATTATCCTGAATAAGTTCCGACAAGTTTGCCGGACGAAACGTCAGAATTATTTTAAATTTCAATCGCTGAGATTATTTCAGAATATAATTTTCATATAAAATGTATTTCTAGTTAACAAACCTGAAAGATTATTAGTAAGTTTCAACAAGTATTACTTTGCATAAACAAGCTTTCTTTTATGAAATGAACTACACTTGTGGATTTCTGTCAATTATTGTCCTCAAAAGTATTATATTGTTCACTACATTTGGTGTCGCTGCCAACCAGTAGAGGGGAGGGATGCTGTTCCGCGGACGCTGTTGAGGACCTGGGGCTGGGGTGCCATTTGTGGCGGTCTGGTGCGGAAAGCTGACGTCGAGTGAAGTGTTCTGTCGGGGCGGCGTTGGCTGTAATGCGTGCTACTGACGGAGAGGAGCTGTGGGGCGTGCAGCTGATGGGCGGACATCGGATATAGACAGCTCAGCAGTTCGCTGGAGTGCAGGCGTTGAACGTCCCAGGTGCAGGGTGAATATCGGGTGTTGGTGCCTCAGCAGGTTTACAGAGCTATGAATGTCAGCGCGCCGCAGAAACGACACTTTGACGAACAGCGTGCCACAGACTGCATAAAAGAGGAAAGTGGCACGGCGAGCCAAACCACCGCAAGAACGACTGTTTTAAAGCAATGACGAGTGTGGTGTGCGCTACTTATATTCACATAAGCAGTATATAACGATAGTCAGAAATAGTATGTATTTCAGTTGAATATAGAGAAGGAAAGAACGGGAATGAAAAGCAATCGGTATAAAAATGCATGAACAATGAAATCTGAGACGATGGACTGATATTTGCAGAAAGAACAGTCAAATTTGAGACAATTGATTGACATATTGCAAATTAATTATTTACTGTATAATTCTCAGATTTTACTGAAATGTTCTGTAATTTTCTGTTTAAATGCACTCCATTGTCCCCACTTGTGTTTTTGTTCACTGCATTATAAAACATATACGAGTTATGTTGGCATGTGTGTATGCTTCGTTTGAAAACATTCAACTAAAAAGAACCTGATAGCCCTACTAAAGTCAATTGGTTTATGTTGGGATATTCAGGAAAATATCCCAGAAATTATCCTATTAAGTCTAATGCTATTCTTGGACTTGGACATGGTATGATTTTCTTATTGGTCAGTACTTATTTCACGTGTTATTTTCCTACTGGTCAATATTGTACAATGCTATTTTCTATTTTATGGTTTGTTGTGGTCTGATTGACTGGTATATAAATAAAGTATGTTTGAAATATAATGATTCATATATCCGAGGCTGTGACTTGCGTTCTGAACCCAACTGCTGGGCTAGATAGGGAAGCGGGGCCAATCAGAACCCTAGGTCGTTCCGCGTGTTTGCGCGTCTTTGGTCCGATCGATAATTCGCTACCCTCAAATCTGCCGTGTTCCAATTATAACAGTTTAACGAAACAAGAATTTGCGTTTACTTACACTTAGAATCGGTGAATTTCGCCACTCTCCTCTATAATTTATTTGATTATTTCATATGATAATTATGAATTCCTGTTTTTTTTATGTCACTACTTTGATTATTCAAGGCTGTAACATTTCAAAAAATGACCCAATAGAAAATCAATGAACAAGTTTTGTTCATCTTGGAAAACGAATTGATGTCATTTATTCAACTTCGAATCTTGATTTAATGAATCGTTTATCCCGCAAAAGTTCTGTTTTTCTTCTGTTAGTTCATACAAGATACTAACCGAGACGGTAATGACAATTATGAAATTGCGATTAAACCTGATAGTTAGGTTTAAATTACATTACAATACTTATCCATTTAAAGTAACAATTAATCATGTTCGTTTTAATGTAAAGTATTCTGTATGTGCTTGTTATTTTGTCATATAAAATGACTCATATTTCCTAAGCAGTCAATCTAACTTCGGATATGCATTAGTTTGAACGTTGTGTGCTGATAATCCAATTTTCATGAATAGTGGTCATGCAGTCATAAATGTTTTTTTCTACGACAACATGAATAGTGGTTTTCTCTCTTTGACTAGGAGGTTTTGTTAAGCTTCTATTTCTTAAAGATTGGTTTATTCTTTTCATAACTTTTTCACCTTGATTCTGTACATAAAACTAATAATTACAGCTAAGTAATATAAAGATGAGTTAACGGGAATCGTAGAAACCACTTTGGATTTCTTGCGCAAAATTCAAAAACGGGTGGCTTTTATTTTACACCACACTAATTTCTTTATATAATCCTTAAGAAAAATTCAATTTTCTATTAAACAATGAAAAGGACATTGCCAGAAGTATCATATGCATAATTTCTTCGTTTTAACTAGTACATATGTGAATAATAAAACTTCACTTTCTATTGGGAAAACTGGAAAAAATAATTTCATTATCAGTTCACCAAATGTTAGGTTTTGTGGTTTAGTAGGAGTACTAAATTACGATTTATGAGCATGATCTTTCAATATCGTAGAGAAGTAAAATAAACGCTTGAAAATCAGATTACTCTTATAGCTGTTACATTCAACAGTTCTCAGTCTTGAATTCCCCAGGAATTTATCTTGATATCTTCAGATTGCGTGCTTCAACTTAGTTAGCGAAGTTCATGTTAGTGTATCCTACTTATGAATGATTGATCTATATAAACTAAATATATATCTTTTAACATAATAAACTAATGTTTCAAATGTAATAAGTTACCCTAAAGTTTTTCATTATTTTCACACTCTACAACTGATGAACGCAATTATATTATTATTGTTTATTACTTTAAAAAAATTAGAACTTTACATGGAAACTTCAAATGACTATATACTATACAATTTGTAGATATGCCTCTGGTTACATGTTAGTTGTAACTACGATCAACTGTTTGATCATAGGTTCTTTATAACTCCCAAATTAACACATATTTAAAAGCCACTCTTAAACACTGATCATGCTCTAAAACTCAATGAACTGTACAAAGAAACTTGTGTTATTTGCTTAGATATCACATACATAACTCAGGAGAAAATAGAAGAGCTACCAACCATATGTGTTATGTATTATCATTAAAGAGATATTATTAGCTACATACTTAGTAAATACTGGTGGAACATTAGAAATGCTTCAGCCTAGCCATAATATTTTAATGAATAACTGAAAATATCAGACATTATAGCTAAAGTATTCTCTATAGCTAGTCAAACGACACGAAACACAATCTATTAACGAACTAATAAACAATCAATGATTTTGTTATAATAATTTATGCTTGAAATGGACTACAAGTCGCTATTTGTATTGCGATAGAAATAAATAACAAACATAATGAATAAACAATATTAAAGCAGAATGACGTTTCATCGTTCTTATTGAAAATTATATCAAAAGATATGTTGCCAACAGGTCAGCAATTGTAATAATGAGATTTTTCTGTAATCTAGATGTCAGTTTACAGATGAATTAATGTCTGTTAAAATTTTGATGCCAAACTATAAGGAATGTTCTCTTTTTTGATTGTTTGGCAGATTGCGTAAATGTTGAAAGAATATCAACAGATCCAATGAAACCGATATTGTGTACTTCTGTTTATGGTTCATTCAGATTTTTGTCTAAAAGCTGGTAAACATTTGGACGAAGATATGTATACTGTTGATCAATATTTATCGTTTGAACAAATTTTTAAATGGAAATTAGTGATATTTATTTACCTCATTTACACATCATCATTCTATTCATCGAATTCCATTACAATGAAACGTCCATCAGCAGATTCTTTTCATCCATTACGTAAGTTATATCATAAGTAATCATACTTATTGCAATACTGTTAAATGAATATAAAGGACAATTATTTTTGTACAATTTAATGTGTTCTTGTATTTATTCACAACAAACTATTATATCTTCAGTTCATTTCTATTCATAGTTGTTTAAGTATTAGGTATATATTGCCATAGTTTACCAAAGTAATTTCAATCAAGTGATTATGCATCAGTTAACAGTGTTTATCAGTTCAAAATTCTCAGTGAAAATAATAATGAATAATGAAGGGGGGATATATTAACAAACAATCCAGTAAACTGTATGGTATGTGATAAATCAGTCAAATTTTTTTTATCTAACTCAACTTAATATTCTATTACAGTTAGTCAACCAAGTATACGTGTTCCAATATCTGATAAGATTGATTGAATGCGTACTTGCATTAATCGGTTCCATAAGAGCACTTGAGTGACGAACATGGAGAGGAGGAACTGAATTCAGTTTGCCATTCATTTTCTATTATAATTAGTATCAGATGCACATAAATTAAAGAATTATGACCGAATGCGAAAAACGTTTGTTGTGAATATCCCATGATCTTCGCCAATGTGCTTGTTCATAAATTTTCCTAGTAATTCATTAGCACTAAGTAATTTACACAACTTCTGTCACCCTTCTAAGATTACTACAGTTCCAAATCCCGAATAAAGGACAAGGGTTGAGTATGGTATCAGTGACCCTATTCCGTAGAAAACAGCCTTACTAACAAAACGCTAACCAGAATAAGCCATTTAAACCACTTAAACTCTGCCCTCCAAGTTGAAGGACCTGCGTTTAGAAGAATTATGACGTCTTATGGTGAAAGCCGAGATCCTCTAAAAGTCACGAGGCAATTTTCACTTCTAATATCCAGAGTAATCATTATTATAGGTACATGGAATGTTCGGACATTTTGGGAAAGCTGGGCGGACCATTGAAATAGCTGCGGAAATGAAGAGATACAACTTGGCGGCTCTCGGAATAAGTGAAATTCAATAAACGCAAGCTGTACATAAAATGTTAGACTAGAGAGAAATGCTATTGTACTCGAGTCAGGAAGAAGAAAATGCTCCGCACACGCATAGAGTTGCTCTGATGCTGTCCAAAGAAGCACGTAAATCATCTATAAGATGATAATCTCATGGATCCAGAATCACCAAAGCATCCCTCAAAACAAAGAAGGAGGGATCACGATGAATGTTATTCAACGTTATATACTTGTAAATTATAGCAACAGTGACGATAAAGATCAGTTTTACGAGAGGCTTCACTCTATCGTAAAGAAGCTCTCAGGATGGGAAGTGACCACCATGATGAGAGATCTAAGCGACAACGTTGGAATGGACAACACTGGGTATGAGGACATCATGGGATGACATAGACTGACTAGGAGAAAGGGACGAGAATGTCGATTGATTTGGAAATCTATATATACTCGACGGAATTGTTATAGGTGGCACAATATTGCCCCACAAACACATACATAGAGCTACATGGGTCTCACAGGTTCACACTACAGCGAATCAAATTAACCACGTTTGCACCAATAAAGAATTCAGTAGGTCGATTAGAGATATGAGAACCAGCAGAGGATCTGACGTAGCTTCAGATCACCACCCAGTTGTGTCCAAGATGAAATGAAAGCTGAGGAAGCACTGGACAGCTGGGGAAACAGCATTAAAAAAACCCAATACATCTTTCCTTCGAGGTACCAAGAAAATCGACCAGTTCAAGATAACTCTCAACATCAGGTTCCACGCCGTACAAGATCTTCTCGAAGAAGATAAAATTACTATGAAGGGCAACCGGAAACAGATTAAAGAAGCACTAAATTCAGCCTGTAAAGAAGTGCTGGACCTCATGAAGCATCATCACAAGGAGCGAATCTGTATGGAAACCCTGGACAGAATTCAAAAACAGGAAGGACAGAAAGACAGCAACCAAAAACAGTGAGCTGAACAAGAACAGAGGAAGTTAAAAGACAAACTGAATACACAGAAGCAAACAAGCAATTGAAAAGAAGCATTAGAGCTGACAAGCAAAAATAAGTGGAAGACGCCGGAAAAAGCTGGAAGAGAAGGAAATATGTGGCAAATATAAGATACAACGAAGAAAATAACAGGGAATATTGTAAACCAGAGAGACTGTAGTAAAGGATCTTGATCTTCCCAATCTTCTGCTGCCAAATATTACATTACTGACTAGCGTTATATACTACTTATGTTAATATAAGTAGCATGCACCACAAGACCAGTCAAGGACAAAGAAGGCAATCCAATCGCTGAGATTTAAGAACAGCTCCACTGAACCCAACGGAAATTGGAGCAACACTCAAAGGCCTTCCTGTGGCTCCCACCCTACCAACACAGATGGCTTCAACCTAGTCACACTTGATGGACAGGATCTGGAACAGGTGGAAATGTCCACATATCTGAGCAGCGTCATCGATAAACAACGAGGATCTGATGAAGATATGAAGACAAGGAATGGTAAAGTAAGTGCAAAATTCCTGCAGTTGAAGAACATATGAATTAAAAACAACTCAATCAATATCAAAATCAGAATCTTCAATCCGAATATCAAGACATTTCTACTTTACAAAGCTGAAAATTCAAAAACTACTGCAACCATCATCAAAAATGTACAAGTATTTGTAAATAATTGTCTACATAAGATACTCAATGTCTGTTGACCGGATACTATCAGTTACAGCCTACTATGGAAGAGAACAAACTAGCTTTCGGCTGAAAATGAAATCAGGAAAAAACATTTCAAAAGTGAATAGAACATATATTGAAGAAACCATCAATTTGCATCACGAGATAAGCGCTAACTTGTAATCCTGAATGGAACCGGGAAAGTGGAAGGCCAAAGAACACGATGCATCGGTAATTAGAAGCAGATATTAAAAGGACGAATATTGATTGAAGAGAACTGGAAAGTATTATCCGTGACAGAGTTTGATGGATACTGCTAGTGAGCGGCCTACGCTCTTCCTTGAGGGATAGCATGCGTAAGTAAAGTAATGAAGTTGCACATAATATTCAAAACGTTGATAAATGAGCAGGACAAAAAAGTTTTTTTCAGGAAGTTCCTATTTTATTTCACCACATTATCAAGACCTCTAGGCACCGTCTCACCTAGGTGGCGAAAGCTAGGAAGATACCAGTTACGAAATTAATCTTCAATTTCAGATGTTTGTAAGTCATTTATTACTATAACCAAGGAACACGTTACAAACAATCTTACTCGTATCGTCTAATTTTCGTGATCTTCACTTTGCCCCAGTAACAAATTCGTATTTTATTTTCGCCTATGTGCACCATTCATCTCCCATGACATAAGCCTGAATTATTTTCCAAGTTTTACGTGTTGAAATTTTCGTTCACTATAACTAGTCAAGTCTATGAAAGGACGTGTTAAAGATATTATTATCTAGATCTTGTCTACTGATTTAATACCAAGTAGTTTGACGCATTCTACACAAAAAGTTGGTTCATTTTTAAGTAGTAGTGGTAATAGTACACTAACGTTAAATCAATAATTTCTGACGATGAAAATGAATTATGTTCTATATATGTTACAAAAACTGACTATTTCCATTCATTTGTTTTATCAAATTTTATTCTACAGACGAGAAATATATTGACCTATTAAGTCCAATCAAGGCTGATCATGATTATTTTCACTTCAATCCAGGCACAACATCTGAAGCAGATGGTAATCAATGGGAAAACCGAACCTTACAAGCTTCCAGTTCTACTGAAGCACTGCAATTTGACTACGATGGTCAAAATGATATATCTTTATCCTACACACCATTATTACCAGTCAGCTTTTTGGTTGAAATGATACCGTATCCGAGATTATATCCTGGACGATCATTTTTCTTCAGTCGTCTAGATAACTTGAATCGTATACGTTTGGCTATCGGATTAAACCAATGGGGTAAAACTGGTGAATGTATGGAATTATGGATACATCATGAATTATTTTATAGTCTGGAACCAACTCCAAAAATTTCCACATATTATATTGGATCAGGTTTAGTAAATCATGCCGGTCTTGTAATAGTACCTTTACCGAATTATCAATTCAATACTAACAAACCTATTACACTGATTATTGAAGTATGTTGATATTTATGGATATATAAAGTATTAATTTGCTAAATTACTCTTCAAATTTCATTCAATTGTTATACATACTTCGAAAACACTTAAAGACGTACAATTAGTGTAGGTGATAATATTCATTATTTCAGTTTTGCTGATAAACATCAATAGTTCATCGCAATCGGAATGATAAGCAAATAAGTTCGAGATGTTTTAATAGCATTTTATCAAACCTGAGAACATAATAAACTAGTAATTACAGCTAGATTTAATTAAGGCAATATAAAAATGCTGTAAACAAATATATGGTTATTATGTTATATAATAAATCTCGATAAAACAATGAGAAGACGTAGTTGATCTGAAAAATGTGATGTATTTGCGCTATACATTTCGAACAATCTGATCACACATATACTTGTCAAGGCATTTTTATATGAAATTAATAAAGGTCAAACGAATAAAAGTACAATTAAAATAACTAAGGGGAGACCTTTATTAATTTCATATAAAAATGCCTTGACAAGTATATGTGTGATCAGATTGTTCGAAATGTATAGCGCAAATACATCACATTTTTCAGATCAACTACGTCTTCTCATTGTTTTATCGAAATTTATAAAAGGGACTAATTGCTTTAAATATAATAAATCCCCTGATGAACGTGGACTCTTTGGTGTGGGTACATCTAGACGATGAGTCTCAAGTAGGATAAAATGCGTGTCGTAGATCTCACTTCTTACCATCATACAGCTCTGCTTATAACGCTTATGAAGTAATGGCAATACTGAAGCAATCTGAACAGGTTATAGGCCGGTCAATTACAGTCTTCAACATCAATATATATATATATATCATAATCCCAATTATTCTCTCGTATCTAATCATTCAGTAACTATATTTGGTCACTGTTTTATTTGCAAAACTGTCTGAAAAAACTCCCGTAAGAACTTATTTTAATTACTCACTTGACATGTATCCGTTCTTTATTCTAGTATTACTTACTTACTTACTTACGCCTGTTACTCCCAATGGAGCATAGACCGCCGACCAGCATTCTCCAACCCACTCTGTTCTGGGTCTCCTTTTCTAATTCCAATTCTTGTTCATCTTTTTCATGTCTATTTCCATTTCTCGGCGTAATGTGTTCTTTGGTCTTCCTCTTTTCCTTTGGCCTTGATGATTCCATTTGAGAGCTTGTCTTGTGACGCAGTTGGGTGCTTTCCTCAATGTGTGTCCTATTCATTTCCAGCGCTTCTTCCTAATTTATTCCTCTGCTGGGATCTGGTTTGTTCTCTCCCACAGTACGTTGTTGTTGATAGTGTCCGGCCAACGGATCTGAAGTATTTTGCGTAGACAACTGTTAATAAACACCTGTATCTTCTGGATGATGGCTTTCGTAATTCTCCAGGTTTCCGCCCCATACAGTAGAACTGTCTTGACATTTGTATTGAAAATCCTGACCTTGGTGTTGGTTGACAGTTGCATTGAGTTCCAGATGTTCCTCAGTTGTAAATATGCCGCTTTTGCTTTGCCGATCCGCGCCTTCACATCTGCATCAGATCCACCCTGTTCATCAATGATGCTGCCCAAATATGTAAAGGTTTTTACATCTTCCAAATCTTCTCCGTCAATTGTGAGTGGATCGGTGGATGCTGTGTTGTATCGGAGAATCTTGCTTTCCCTTTGTATATATTGAGACCTACTGCTGCTGAGGCTGCTGCTACACTGTTCGTCTTCTCCTACATTTGTTGTTGCTTTTGGGATAGAAGGGCCAGATCATCTGCGAAGTCCCGATCGTCCAACTGCATCCTAGATGTTCATTGTATCCCGTACTTCCCTTCAGATGTTGACATCTTCATGATCCAGTCGATCACCAGGAGAAAGAGAAAGGGTGAGAGTAAGCAACTTTGCCTAACACCGGTCTTCACTTTGAACGACTTTGTCAACTGCACGATTTTGCAGTGTAATCCATCATATGAACTCTGTATGATATTGACTATCTTTTGAGGCACGCCGTAGTGTCGAAGAAGTTTCCATAGTGTTGTTCTGTCCACGCTATCAAATGCCTTTTCGTAGTCAATGAAGTTGATGTAGAGTGATGAATTTCATTCAGTTGATTGTTCCACAATGGTCCGTATAGTTGCGATTTGTTCTGTACACGATATATCCTTACGGAATCCTGCCTGTTGGTCACGAAGTTGGGTGTCTACGCAGTCCTTCATCCTGTTTAACAATACTCTGTTGAAGACTTTTTCCGGTATTGAGAGAAGAGTGATGCCCCTGTAGTTATCACACTTGATGAGATCGCCTTTCTTCGGTATTTTGATCAGGAGCCCTTCTTTCCAGTCTTTTGGTACTTGTTCCTCATCCCAAATCTTATCGAAGAGAATGTGGAGTATCCTTGCAGTTGCCGCTACGTCTGCTTTTAGTGCCTCTGCTGGAATTTTGTCTGGTCCTGCTGCTCAGACGCTCTTGATTTGTCTGATGGCCATGCTGATCTCTTCAATTGTTGGTGGGCCAACATTGATCGGGAGATCCGTGGGTGCTACTTCGATGTTGGGTGGGTTCAGTGGAGCTGGTCGATTCAAGAGTTCTTTGAAGTGTTCTACCCACCTATTTCGTTGTTCTTCAACGTTGGCAATTACCTTGTCTTCCTTGATTTTCACTGGTCGTTCTGGTTTGCGTCGATTTCCAGAGAGTTTCTTTGTTATGTCATACAGTTGTCTCATGTTCCCTTCTTTTGCAGCCTTTTCCGCCGTCTTTACTAGATCTTCCACATATTTACGTTTGTCGATTCTGATGCTCTTCTTCACTTGTTTGTTTACTACTGTGTATTCAGCTTGTGCCTTGGCTTTTTCTGCTCTTGTTCGACTAGTATTGATTGCTGCCTTCTTGTTTCTCCTTTCGTGAATCTTATCCAGTGTATCAACAGTGATCCATTCCTTGTGATGGTGCTTCTTGTGACCCAGGACCTCATGACATGTTGAAGTGATTGCCTCTTTGATCCCCTTCCGGTTGCTCTCCACAGTAGTTCCTTCTCCATTGAGTATAGGTCATAAAAGGCCTAGAACTTGTTGCTGAGGACTATCTTGAATTTGTTGGGTTTGTTAGTATCCTGAAGAAAGGCCGTATTGAACTTTTGTGATATTGTCCGCCCCATTGTCCAGTGCTTCTTGAGTTTCAATTTCATCTTGACGACCAGCAAGTGTTGATCTGATGCTATATCAGCTCCTCTCTTGATTCTCACGTCCTCCATCGTCCTCCTGAACGTTTTGTTGATGCAAATATGGTTGATTTGGTTTTGCGTGGTGTGATCCAGTGAAGTCCATGTGGTTTAGTGAATGCGTTTATGTGGGAATATGGTGCCGCCTATGACCAGTTTATTGAAGGCACATAGGTTTGCAAATCTCTCACCATTTTCGTTTCTTTCTCCCAGTCCATGTCGTCCCATGATGTCTTCATATCCAGTGTTGTCCGTTCCAACCTTGGGGTTAAAATCTCTCATCAGAATGGTCAGGTCCTTTGTTTGACATTTTTCGACGATTGACTGCATCCTATTGTAGAATTGATCTTTAGCGTCTTCATTGTAGTCGTTGGTAGGCGCATAGCATTGGATGATATTCATTGTAATGCCCTCCTTTTTTGTTTTGAACGAGGCTTTGATGATCCTTGGTCCATGAGATTCCCATCCTATAAGCGCATTTTGCGCTTGTTTGGACAGCATCAATGCAACTCCTTGTGTATGTGGGGCATTTTCTTCTTCATGGCTGGAGTATAACAGAATATCTCCTGAAGTTAATCGTTGTTGTTCAACTTGCGTCCAATGTGTTTCACTGATTCCAAGTACCTCTAGGTTGTATCTTCTCATTTCTGCAGCAATTTGGAAGGCTCTCCCGGTGTCCCACATTGTACGAACATTCCATGTACCTAAATAAATGGTCGCTCTGGTTTTCAGAAGGAACATCGGCCTCGTAACTTCCGAAGGAATTCGGCTTTCATCATGAGGCGTCATAGTTCTTCTAAATGAAGACCTTCCGATTCCCAGGGCAGGGGTTAAAAGGTTTGAATAATTTTTTCTGGTTAGCTTTTTTTAGCGAGTTAATTTTTTACGGGATGGGGACGCTAACCCCATGCCCAACCCTCCTCCTTTATCCGGACTTGGGACCGGAAGTAGCCCCCGGTGGGATTCCAGGCGAAGATTTATTCTAGTATAGAATGCATTAATTGTATTATTGATTGTATCAATTAGTTGTTATTGTAGTTCAGGGTTTAACTGTTTATACCAACGTTTCTGCCATAATATGATGAGTTTTAACTGAAGTTTAATAAATTAATTTCTCCTGACTCGACAAGTGATTTCAAATTATCGATTTAGGAAGATATTGTTTTAAACTGTTAATCTTTTAACAACAGTTGTAATAACTGCCCAAATCCTGTATGAATTGTGTTGGTTATTTGAATGATCATTTAAATTAATAAGATTAATGTGGCTACTCACAAAAACTCCATAAAACACTCGTAAGCCTACGACCAACGCATATTGAAAGATAGAACAACTTGTCAGGGAATCATCAGTCGTAACATACGACGAAACCATACATTTATGTACAAAATATTTTACACAAAATAATCATGATTAAAAATTATTGAGGAAAAGAACGGTTCTCAATTTATAGACTGTTCGATAACTTTTGAAATTAAGACCTGATTATTAGACTTGCATATTAACCAGAATACCAATCATGAACAACAACTCGATGAAAATATAACAGTAAATCAGAATACTCTGGTTACTTATAAATATAGATTTATACTAAAAATAATCAGAGAGTTTTTGTGGATATTATAGTAATTCTAGTAGTTGAATTTATGAGTAAATTGAAGCTAGACCGCCATGGAAGACCTGGAAGCACTGGACTGATAGATCTTCGGTTCGAATCTCGCGAGGCAAGATCGTGCATGAGACTGCCACTGAGAAATCCCATAATGGGACGAAACGTCCTTCCAGTGCTTTCAGGTTTCCCATCGTGGTCTAGCTTCTATTGACTCATTAGTTCAACTAATAAAATTATACAGAACAATAAATGGAAGTAAATCACATTGTGTCTTCCTTAATCTGAATAAAAATACCGTGAAAGATATTGAATGGTTTAGTAATTGTATTTTGTAAACAGATCATCAGTATGGTTATCATATCATTTGAATACTTCAATCAGATTAGAAGTAATATGTATTTTGTAGCAGATAAATCAACTGACATATTCTGAAACAAAAAAACAGATACAAACAATAATTCAAGTTTGTGAATCCTTAAAACTGAAATTGAAACTATCTTCCAATGTTGTAAGGATAAACTGATTCTTATGATAAAATTGTAGACATGTTTCAGTAAAAAATTCGTTGTTCATCTTTGTTCGTTATTCTTTGCAAAATGAAGTGTTTTATTAAACCATTGATTCTTACATTATAAGCAAACATGAATAGCGGCTAGCAGTGGAATCCAGGATGCGCGTTTCATCCCTTTTGAAACTCACCTGCTGGATGTACTTGCACCTCAGAGCTGGTGTTTTCTCCGGGCCTCGAACTCAGTACCGTTCGCTTCAAACGCCATCGCGCTATCCACTTGGCCACTGAGTCCTGATAGCCACCTTCCGTGTGCAGTGGAGTGAAGTTTAAATTCACTTATTGTTGTTTGCTTGTATCTTCCCATAGTTGTCTAGGACTGCAACCGATCAGTCATTTGTTGGCATATGTGCACCCTGTCCCGATATCAGAACAAATACAATATGAGAAAAGAAATTATAAAGATGAAAAGGAGAAGAGGAGAATTAATGATATTCGTCCCTTTACGGAAAAGTAGTTCAAAAGGAATGTATTAGAGAGAATAATGATCTCAATCAACGTTTATACATCGTCTAAAACCGATAAAACTTATACATTAATTTTTACAGTTGCAAAGATTGAAAAAATTGTTCACCTTTGATTGTGTATATCTTATATCTAACATTGCCCCCCCTCTTTCTCACCTTCTACGTTTTCTTATTAATTAACAATAAAGATTACAAACGCCAGTGTTAAAGTGTACAAAAACTGTAAGTTATACCATAAACCTCTATTTAGTATTAATTATCGACAAAATATAAAATATCATCATTTACATGGAGACAGATTTGAAAATAAATCAAAAGAATTATCGAGATTGGATAAATTCTATGCTCTGTCAGGAGGACCATATCATGGTGACAAATTTTTAGTAAGTTATCATTTAATTTGTTAATTTGGTTCTTGTTATGATGATATTTCTAAATGTGTATTTAATAAATTGCAACTACAGTCTATCGTTCGCCTTTTAAGACTTCCCAACTTGATACGAATGACATTTAAGTCATTTTGTATATCACAGTTTCAAGTATCCTATTTAAATATGAATCTCACTGTTTAAGTCCAGTAACTCTGAAGATCAGTAAAGTAGATTTACTATAACAGCTACAACCCCTTACTGGATTGTACTTAGTACCTCTAAATATCACGGCGAGCACGATACCTATAAACTGTTGAATCTGGACCAGTCAGTCTTTATTTATAATTCCAATTATTCTTTGATATTACTCAACGGTCACCTAATTTCTTCGTCGATAAATTTCCTACTCATAAAATTGCTGAACCTCAGTAGTTATGGCTTGTCGCTAGAAAGTTTGGGATTCATCTTGAAGCTGGCTACTAATGTGAATATATTGCTTCAGGATTATTAAGCAACTCATCAAAGTTAGAAATCAAGGTGGTAATAAAAATTATCTCCAACTGGCGGGAGCTCACTAAGAACAGTTTAATATGCCTACTAGAATAACCGCCAAAGATATTCCATAATAACAAAATAACCACATTCAAATAATGTACATAATTAAATGTTATTGACTTAATTTCTGAGTCGATTATTGAATTTATTTTTCAATAAATGAATTTTAAAAAAATAATTACCTGACTCTTAGGTTATCGATCTGGTAGAGGGAATTTATAAATCTTCTTGTAGTACTCCTGTTGTCGCCTGGTGTCTTCTTTTCCAAATATTCCACTGTTCACCTACACAAATGAAATCATTTCCTAGCTTGAAACATTATATTTAGTTGAATTTCGTTTTTCAAGAAGTATGTATCTCCTCATCAAAGTAGACTAAAACATCAAAGAAGCGGCCTGCTTGAATATCTGGGCTACCTGTTCCTGCCATCTGGATATTTCAACAAGTTATCTGTTTCCTTGTTTGTTTTTACAGATCGTTATGTCAATTAATTGCATAAACTATTCAGGTGCGTTTGTGAGAAGTTTACAACCTTACTCTGCGCAAATTACAAAAATGTACACTTGAAGACATCATTATGTCTGACAATATACATAGAAAAGAATGAATATTATTCAAATGTCGACTTCTGAATTGCTAATATCTAACTGGCAATCACTCAGTATTTACCGTCAATATCGATCAAGAAATAAGAAAACGAAACTTATGAAAATACTTTGTACAGAGAACTCTATATTGTACCAAGAATGCAATTATGAAGAAAGCTAATAATATTTATAATTACTGAATAATTCCTGATTTACAAATATGATGTTTCTTTCAATTAAGTGAACCCGAATCCAACAAAACAATCCAACAATTCAAAAAGACACTACCAACTTTAAGGTGACTTTTCAACTGTAATTTATTTGAAATTACAAATCTAACAATCTGAAGTGTTCTGACAAGTTCATATGAAAATAATTGAGAATTCTGACTTTATGGGTCAACCAATCATTAACATATACTGCATATTAATGGAAATATCCCCAAGATCACTTCACATTTTAAAATATTTTTTATATAAAGTTGTAGTTTACTCGCTTATGTTGTTAGTAATATATCGTAAAATATTAAAACGTGTCGATTCATTTGTGCAGTTTTATGAACAATATTTCAATGTACAGTCTGTCCAATGAGCTGAAATCAACCGAAGTTCTATTTAACCAAACTGTAAGGATGGCGCACGGGTGAAATAGAGAAAGTTCTAAGAAGCTCAGAAAGAGGTAAAGGTATTCCAACTAATCATCTTTTGGAAGAATATTCCAAAATCTCTACGTGTAGATTCCCTATTAGATAAATGTTAAAAACCCCTGTACGCGGATTGAATGACTATAATGATATCGTTTTTACTAAAAACTATAAATACTTGAGGATTTTGTACCATATTTAATACTGTTTGGAATTACATTCCTTTCATTTGTCTTCTATCTTCTCATTTGCGTCTTGGAGGGTTCTAGGGTTCGAGTGCTTAAGTTGTACACATTATGTCAAAAATCTAACCTCTAAATATAACAACTGGCGACGTGGTCAACCTTTCAAAATGTCAGTTACCTTTGACCAATTTGAAGCTTTGCTACGGCGTCATGAAAACCTTTACGAACAGTTACAGATTCATATTCTAGACGCTCTAACCGAGCATATGAACCTAAACCAAAAGGGGTTTACAGATGATATGTTCAAATACCATGTTGAACACACCATTAATTCTATCCGTGAATTTCATTTTTATGCTTTGGCTGGTGTTACGTTTGAACTGTGGTTCAAGACATACGAAGATATATTCAAGGTCGAGCTAGAAAAATCTGATGATGCCCTAACGGTCAGAGTACTGCTACGCAAACTTGGCTCAGCTTAATTCGAACGGTACATCAACTTTATTCTCTCCGCGAATCACATAGACCTTTCATTTGGTACAACGGTTGTGACTTTGTCGCAAATCTTTGGTGAACAGTCGTCTTTGTTCACTATTTGTTACCAACGTCTTGAGTCGACGAAATCTGGACACGACGGCTGGATGCAACATTCTGGCATAATAAATCCCAAGTATGAGCGTTTCGAATTATCGGCAATGACAGAAGACTAGTTCGAGTGTCTTGTTTTTGTATGCAGCTTTCAGTCGCCTGAAGATGTCAATATCAGAACCAGAATTTGTTCAAATATAACGCTACAAGTGATGAATGAATTTCAGAGGTTCATGAACTTGAAACATGAAAACAGTGACCGGTCACCATACGTGCAGGTAATAAATGACCAGGAAGATTCCATTGTACGAAAGCAGAACAGCTGACATAAACAGCATCCATCCTCGTGCTGGTTATGCAGTGAGTGGCATTACAATAAGTTTTGCCCATATAAAAGCTACGTTGTAGTAAATAGCAACATAAAGGACATTAGGAATCCTGCTGTAAAAAAATGTGTCGTCGTCCACCGCGATTTTATTCCAGGAGACATAAACCTCATGCATCAACCAGAAAAATAATGGTAGCAGACTCATGAACAAAACATAGTCGATAAGAATTTGTAACCATCAAGGTTGACGGTCATCTTGCTCATCTGCAACTCGACACTGTTTCCGTATTAGCCGAGGAACCTTGAAGCATATTGGAAAACCCCAGGCGTTCGCAACAACCCAATAAGCTCATAGTGTATCTGTAGGGAAATCAAATATTGTTGGAGAGGTATGCTGTACAGTTTCAAAAGGAAATGCAAAGATGAATGAGAAATTATACCTCACAGAGAGTTCAGGTCTAGATTAGCTGGGTCCAGACCTAATAGAAACACCTCTAGATATTCTCTCGATAGTTATTTATTCACAAAGTTTAAACTCATTTGTTACATCATTACCATAAAATCAAAGTGATTCAGTTGACCCATCATTGCCATCTTTAAAAATAGTGGATATGAATTATTTTCCTACACTACGTTACTATCTTTGATCTTAATCAAAATTTCACTTAATGATTGAAATATATAGAACATTCTGTAATAACTGATGATCCTTTAATTATCATAGTTTTGGTTAGATAACTCAAAATGTAAATCCTTTAAAAAACACGATGTTGATTCGCAGACATTTCTTTGATTCCTTGCTAGTAAATATCAATATGCTCATATTTTTCAACCTAATTATATTAATACACAAAATAACTCAGTGTAATGAAGATTATTGTTGGAACGGCTTCCGAGAACTATGACAGAGCCTTCAGAGGCCTTAAAGGAGCCGAAGAGTTTCCATCCAGTCAGAACCTGGTGGAGATGAATTTCGACTGTGGGGTTCTGTACGTTCGAGTACCGTAGTTGTATACCGTATTCTGAGTTAATCAAGTAGTGAACATAACAATTATCAATACTCATTTATGTAAAAATTTATTATATCTCATTGAATCTCATTATTTCAGGGTCTTATGAAACGAATGAAAATGTTTTTTACTGAATATGGAGCTCGAAAATATTGTTCTGATGATAGTGTAAGTGATCAATATTAGCTATTGTTGTATGTTATAATAAAGAATAAGATTTAAATATGCGTTAAATACTACTCTGAATTACATATTGTTGAATGACTAGTTTTGACTCTCTTAATGTAAGTGAATGTCCCAATAAAATTTCAAGTCAATTTCGAGATATTATTTCGCTTAATAATTTATGAGGAAGAAATTATGTTTAAAGGCTTGAAGTTACCTTAATAAATTGACACTGATAAATTGAGTGATAGGTCCTGGGCTCGGATCTCGCGAGGCGGGGTCGTGGATGCGCACTGCCACTGAGAAGTCCCAGGTTTTCCATCGTGGTCTAGCCTCAATTCACTCATGATCTCAACCACTGAAATTACTATAATATCTACAAAATCCCCTTCTGTTAAGAAAAGTAAATCTCAACGTTCTTATACTCTTATGTTATTTTTGAAGTATCAATGATGAAAGTTCATGAATAGATAATCAATTTTAGTGATAAGTAATAAATCTCTGATCTTAATAAAAAAATGATCGTAGTAAAAAGTGAATTCTCCAATGAAAAATCACAATGAACGACGCATCAGTATAGAACACTGTTATTCCAAAGCATAATAAAGCAATCATTTTTGTATAATTACTATAAAACTATCTTGTTAACAGAAGGTGTGAATCATTCCATTGAGAGACATATTTTATTGGTATTTTTTCCTTCGTGTTTGAATTTTTGCTGAGTTGTGCAACTAAACAACATCTCCATAATGTAACTGTTCCTTTTGATAATTAAATGTATTTAAAAATGCGACAACGTATTATAATTCTCTCTTATTAAAACCCAGCTATTCCTGTTGCTTAGTAGTCTTGGTTACCAATTCACTCGACCACTCCCCAAATCAGAACATAGTTGAACAGGAAAAAAATTATATTCCAAATAACAAGGTTAGATGGAAGTAAGAAACAGTAGGAAAAACGTTAATATATTTATAGTTTTTATATGAGAAGATTCTAGTGTTCTCCAAGTATGGACTAGCGCTGATTAGATAAGAATTAGCCAGTGTGCGTCAAATCAATCGTGCATTGAGCATGCTTTAATCCAATCTATGTCCTGCTAACACAACGACCACTTATTTTTACAATTGCTAGCCATGAGTAAAATTTTATGGATCTTTTCACTGGATCATACGTGTTAATAATACTACAATCATGAGAATTCGTATAAAACTTTAATTGACGATATAGATGAGATTTATATACAGAAAGGAGCTATCTCTCAAGTAAAAAATTGTAATCTTCTGATCGACATCAAATATTTCTTTAATAAATAATACCCAATGTAAATATCCAGTTAATCAATGTCAATCTACTCTTATTGTTTACCATAGGTTGACTCCTTGGGATATGAAGAAACAGGGTAAAACTAGGCCATAAATTTTTTTTAGCATGATAACATTAATTAAAATACAAAGGTTATCAAATTTCACCGTGTATGGTAGATGATCTGTACATTAACATTACTTACTTACTCATGTTACTCTCAGTGGAGCTTAGGCCGCCGACATTAACATTACCTTTCTCGATATAATCCAGGTTACCACCTGTTTGTTTTATAAAAATAATAAAATAACATAAATTGCCAGTGATAAGCTTGTCCATCATGAAGATAGGAAAAAACAAGTAATAAGGGAAACACCTTTCTTCCCTCTATATCCACATAAAACTTGAACAAAATACTCATTGTGTGTAAACTTCATTCATTGGTCAAGTTCTCTATGTTTAATTTCGGCTTCATTCTCATCTGAACTCACTAACAATAAATGAAAAAAAAACTTTTAGATCGACAGTGCTTTTAGATTATGCAATGCAATCTAATAGTCTTCATCTTTCATTAAAAAAAATAGTGGATGTCTTTCGTAGCTTGAATATCTGGGCTACCTTCTCCTGCCGTCTGAATATTTCAACAAGTATTCTGTTTTCTTGTTTGTTTTAACACATCATTATGCCTAGTGATCACATAACTTATTCAGGTGTGTTTCTGAAAATTTTACAACCTTTCTCTGTACAAGTTACAAAAGAGCTCAATCAGAGACATCGTGGTTGCTGGTAATATGTATCGAAAAGAATAAACATTAATCACATATCGATTCCTGAATTGCTAACTTCTAACTGATGATCACTCAATAGTTATCGTCAGGATCAATCAACAAATAAGAAACGGATACCTGTTAAAATACTTTGTACTGAGAATTCCATATTGTACCAAGAATATAATATTGAATAATAAATAATAATAAATCTTTCGCCAAAAGTTTCGATAAATAATTAATAAACATTGAATTCGTTATGTATCTTGGGTAGTTAAATGCTTTAACCTGGTTTACAATGAATTAAAAGTATAATTTTTTTTAACACAGAAACCAGTTTTCATAAATTCGTCTTTCGTATATTTGCACAGAATTTCAAACTATGCAAAAGTAGTTTAAATGAACAACATATCCGAAAAGAATGGGGGAAATTAAATCCATTTAACCAGTCAAATCATACAGGTGAGGAAATGTGAGTAAGTACCCAATACATTGTTATGTAACTATGTTTTCCCATTATTTTGGCAACGTCTTTCTCAATTACTCATTTTATGCAGAGATCTTTACATTATTCGTGTATAATACGGAGTCGGATCTAGAAAAGGATTTAGTTTTCGGCAGTAATGTAAATAAACCTTATCGATTGTTTTTCACGATCAAAAAACTTTATTTCGTTGACTAAGCCGATTCTTGAAACCGATTTAAATCTGGATCCACACTGACTTTTTTCAGTTAAAGTGTTTTTTCACACTGATCGATAGGCCTCCGTAGTCTTTATAGTCTAGCAAATTATAATAACTATTATAAATAATATCTCATTATTTGAAGTTCACTATATAATTAAAGCATATGTACTAAAAGAAATATCTAACTAGGTCTCGAGTTAAAGTGTGTTGTTTACTAAACCATAAATATAAAAATGATGAGCGCTTTTAAATGTGAAAACATTTAAAAAAATTTGTGCTTACTTGATGGAATTATTCATGAGTCGAGTGTTGAGCTCAGATTGATTCTTCTCATTGGTGCAATCATATACATGCATAAAAACTACTAGGAGTGATAATATAACTAAGTGGATAACTATATCCAAGAACAGAGTCCATGTTATTAAGCTGTTTATTACCATCTTGCATTGAAGTCGGTTTTTGCTGCCGTCCAAATAAAATAGGGTAAGGACGGCTTTCATTTCAAATAAAAGTCAATAGATTTCTTGGTCACTTATTTCCAGTTAATTTGTTTCCATATTTTGAGTTTGTTCAGCACTCATAATTCTTTCCATTAGAAGTTATTTTAACTAGTTTTCATCATAATATGAAGTCAACTTTAAAACAATTGAGAAGAAAGAAATAACAAACAGATTCTCTATTCCTGTATGAGACAATAGTGTACACCAAAGGACTCCAAAGGTCAGACCTTCTACATTCAGGTCTTGGAACGAGCTATTTAACTGTAGATAACTGGGTTTGGATCCTGTGATCTTCATTTTCAGCTCCGATTGATTCACCGCTTTGATTTGAACTCATATATAATTCATTCAATCACGAAATTGTTGAATTTCTTCATTTATCTTACTGTTAGATTCTCAAACCATGGCTTAAAGGAAAAGCCATGTTCACTAGACCTGGAGGTTTATACCTCAACAATTGGACAGTTTTCAGATATTTATCAATAGAAAGTATCATTCTAGAACAAAATAGGCGTTCAGTGCTCTTTAGTTCCACAGTTAACATGAGAGAATGTTTCCAGTTAGGAACTTATAGATAATCGGAAAGCATTGGAAAGTTATCTTCACAGCGGTGCACATTCATGACCCTAACGGTGCTCAAATCCAGGAAATTAAAGTCTCCCTGAGGATGCCTCTGCTTCAGGCTATTGTGCAAGCATTCAGTAGTTTTCACGTTCAACTTTAGTCGTTTAACAGTCTGTTATAGGATGGAGACGAAAACCAAATGGTATGGCAGTCCTCATATAATCTGGTATTTGTTTAATCATCCGTGCTACTTAGTTCATTTTATAAATAAGTTAATTTTAAGTTAGTGTTTATCATCAACCGACATTATGGAAAGACTCTAATGTCTAGACGACCTTTGAACGAATCTTAAAAGGCCTTGAGAAATATTAGCCAATCAGCATACAGGCAGTATAGAGTAAAAATATATTATACAAAACCAAGGAAATAAAGTGGATACACTTCTTATACGTGGTTCAAAAACTTGTCAAGGTTAGAAATAGGTTCAAAGGTTCTAAAATCCTAATGCATGCAGTAGAGGAAATCATCCATATGGCTACAGAATAGTCGGCCTCTGGAGCCATGATAAAGTCTCAAAAACTCTTTCAGCCTCGACCACATATCTTCAATATAGTTTATGCTCACTCCAGTTGTTGAGTGCACAAAATGCTACTTTTGGATAAGGACACGATGCACATAGCCAAGCCTATGTAGGAGTCTGTAGGCTCTCCCAACATCCGTATATATTGTAGTACCTGGCTGCAACCGGTGTTACTGGTGTTATTATTATCTAGTTCACGATATTTTTTGTAATTTACCTTAGGAATAATATATGGGATTTTCATCACGAACTGACATCAGCTATAATGCCAGAAATTTATCTAGCCAAATGCATGAAAAGCTTTTGTGTTAAATTCGAGATCTATTATCTTATACCTGATTGATTCGTCCCCAAATTATAGTCTCGCCGTTTCATTTCTTATAGCTGCTCAATTATCACATTTTGTACAAAATTCTCTGTGAACCGATCATACGTTAGCCTTAAGCACTGAAGTTGGCGCCGTAACCTTGAAACCTCTAAAACGCTACCGATTGGCTCGTCCATAAATTAAAGTCTCGCCGACATCACAAATGAAGAACTGTTGAAAACCACTGAAGCACTAAATAGTTACTTTGCCCGAATATAAAACTCGTCAATTATATCCCCTAAGTTACTATTCACAGTACATGGTTACTATACCGTGATTCAAAAAGACCTTAAGAAAATTATTACAACAGAACTCTACAGTTGGTTCGATTTCATAATTGTTATTTTCGCATGTAAATCACTTCATTTCCTCTCAATATTTTTGCCTGAAAAATCAATAGTTTTCAAGGTCATTAACAAGAAAAAACAACGAATGAAACCTATAAAGATAAATGTTGGATTTCAGGAACCTTATTGTAATAATTGAAAGTATCCGAATTATTATACAAACTAGGAATCTTTGAAGTAACGATATGAAGTCCAAATAAAACTAATTAAGCACAAACGAACGTATTGTATTTGAAATTCATAATCGGTCATCATCATCATGTAAAAAGGAATCATTATTTTATACAAAACTTACAACTATATTTAACAACTTTTTTAAGATCTGGTGAATCATTTTCAAATCTTTGAAATTAAAACCTTATATCTAAAGGAATTATTGAGGTTAAGTAGATGTAGTTAGCACTTTTTATATCAATGTCATGATCGAATTTAATGAAATAATTAAAATGGAACAATCTAGTTCTGTATTACAATCTTTTGTTTAAAAATAGAACTAATTGGTACCAAGGTAAACTTCAATATGAGACTTCTTCTGAGATAATGAATCATGTTATGAGATGACAGAAATTGACTCTAACTTTAAATTTAATTGATATGATTTTAACCATAAAATCAAGAAATCTAGATTTGTGTAGCTGATTTAGAAATGAACTGAAGAGACATTATGTTCTATGAAATGGTAAGCAGACAGATGTCATAATAAATACACTGATTGTTATCTACAGGATATTATATTCCACTGAGACATGGAATATCAAAAGATAAATGTTTTCAAACGATATGAAATTAGGATGACAAATTTTCTGAATGCATCGTCTAAAGAGCTTCAATAATAGCGTAGATCTTTTAGCACAATTTGCTATGACTATAAAAGCTGTATGAATCAAAATTTTAAGTAAACATATTTCGCCTCACCGACTAAGGATTTGAAATGACGTTTATTTTCAGCTGCTTTCAATCAGATAAATGGTTTGATTTTAAATTTTTCATTACACCACTGATACAGATTTCAAAAGACAGTGAACTGTTTGAACTGTTCATTAAGTGACTAACAGGTTATCTTCTTAACATGGTCCTTAATAGATTGTTTCACATTATATTTTGTTACGGTTTGCTTATATATTTTCATTGCTTTCTTACATGACTAGAGCCATGATTTTATATTTTTTCAATACTTTACTTGTTGAATGTTAAATTGAGTCTTTTTCGATATTTTATTGCCCGCTTCTAAATGTTCTTTGGCTTTTTTTATGTTCCTTACCCTCATTATTTTATGCCTTTTTTAGTCAAACTTATGTTCATGGTTATCCATGCCCAGCAACATAAATCACGATATAGCATAATGTTCGATAACAATTTTTTGTTACATGTTTCACAGAGTTAGTGAAAACACATCACTAGTTCTGATCTTAGTGCCACTAAAAGTGTATGATAAATTCGAAAGACTATAGTTATTATTCAATCGTCCTTCTCTTCTTTCACTGGTAGCTTATATCAAGATAAATTCCTAAATTTTTTATCAAAAATCATAGCCTATGTAATGAACACAACTAAGAGTGGGGAATTTCAATCGATCATATTGTACACAACACTATTGGCTAAAATGAAAAAGGGAATACAATAATGAAATATACTAAATTGATCTATAAATTTACACTTGATGTAATATTGTTTTAGTTAAATTAAATTTGACTAAGTCTACAATTTCAACCATCGAGACAATTCATTAATACATTTTATTATTTATTGACGCTTACATACATACAGATATACATTTAGTAATGAATTAAAACTTCCCTGTTATCAATTTCTATAGAAAGTTTAATTTACCTTATTCACATTTTCTGCCCTTATCATTGAATAATTTCTATACAATATGTGTTTATGTATAAGTAAAGAAAAAAATTTGGGTAATATATTAACAGGTGATTCAGTTACATAACTTTCATTAATGTACAGTATAATCAAACATTATCTAATAATGAATTGTGAATAAGTAATTCATTTATTACATAACATGATCATTGAAGACAATGACACTATAAATTTCTGAACCGTAAAAACAACAATAAGAAAATTGTTCTAATTCACTTATAGGTACATGTAAATCATATTTTTCCCATATAATATCACATGTATCTAACTGATTCAATGATAACTAAATCTATTTCTATCTTATACATTCTATTCATTTATTTAGTTCAATTAAACAATAATGAACAGATCAGTGGTAAAATCAATCAACAATTAAACAATAATATATATAATAGAACAGAACAATCATTTAATAATAAGAATGATGTCACCGTAAAAAATGGATTGAAATTAAATAAATGTAATCAAAATATTCATGAAGACAATTGTACTAAATTAAATTTGAATAAGTCGGTGAATAATGTAAGTTCAAATTTTATTGTATATATATATGCTGACCTGCATTCTCCAAACCACTCTAACCCGGGCCTTTTTTCTAGTTATATCCAATTGTTATTTATTGTCTTCATGGCTGTCTACATTTCTTAACATAATTTACTCTTTCGTCTTCGTCTTTAAAATTTGGCCCTGAGGATCCCAAGTGGGGGCTTATCCTATCCACTTTCGACGCTTCTTCCTGATTCCTTTTCCACTGGAATCTGGTTTGTTATTTTCCATAGTAGGTTGTTGCTAATAGTGTCTGGCGAATGTATCAGAAGTATTTTGCGTAGGTAACTGTTGATAAACATCTGTATCTTTTGGATGATGGTTTTCGCAGTTCTCGAAGTTTCCACACCATACAGTAAAACTGTCCTTACATTTGTATTGAAAATTCTGACTTTAGTGTAAATAATAAGATCTAATAAGACCAAAGAGTTCATTTGAAGTTAGTTTAAGTGAAGTACCTAAATAGAAAAGTGCAAAATAATCTTTCGTGAATCGGTTTACACATTTCATCAATAAAATTGATAAGATTTTTATATTTTTTTATAGATTATGCTGCTTAATATTGATAGATGATTAGGTGATAGAAAATACATTTATCCACTCGTCGGTAACTTTAACAAATTTAAACGACCCAATAAGAGTAGAGGATAAACATCCATCATCGTCCATTGCTAAACGCATAATTGAAACAGGTCATAAAATTGATCATAACTCGGCTTTTGTAGTGTTGTACAAAAGTGTAAAAGGGCGTATACTAAGGTTTATTGAAGCCTTAGCCATCCGAAAATTCAAACCCCTTCTATGTATTCAAAAAGAGCTTATTCTCACCTTAAACCTACCCTGGCAATATTAGCTTATTATTCAAAGTGATGAGGATTCAAACTGTTTCAAAATTATTTCTTTATTATCCTTGTCTCCTCTTAGCCTCCATTTCTAGTCCAGTTAACCTTTTAATTTTATCAGTATAAGGGTTGTGGAGATTATTAAGTCCTTAATTGAGATCATGAACCGATCAATGTTAGGCCACGTTGGAAAACCTAGAAGCACTTGATGGCCGTTTCGTCCTATTGCAGGACTTCTCAGCAGTGCGCATCCACGACCACGCTCACAGGGTTCGAACCCAGGGCCTTCAGTCTCGCGCGCGAACGCTCAACCTTTAGTCCACTGAGCTGGCCGGCATCTATTGATGTTAATGTCTAACCTTTTAATTTTATACATGGATGTTCTTAACAATTATATTGTGTGTGATTAGATTATTCGAAATGTATTGCACTAATATATCATCATATACTTCTGATAATCTTTCTCTTCTTATTACGCTGTCGAAATTTATCAAAGAGAATTATTGCCTTAAATGAAAATTAAATAAAAACCAAAATTTATCTAAGAATTCGATCACTTAATTAATCGGAATAAAAAAAATAGACAGTTTTTCCAGTTTGATTGATTTGTAGAATTTATTGAGCTTAAAGAATATCTTGCATGAGGAGGGGTTTAGAGTTGCCTTTCTTCATCTTTATTACACCTTTCAAATGTATACCTTGTATGTTTTTCTGTTAAATTATTTTTGGTATACGAATCTACAATATACATGTACATATAATGCTTGTTTTTTCAACTTTATAAATGATTAAATTAAATTTCATATAATCAGAAAAGTTGTTCGATACGATGATGATGTATTAAATATATCTAACTAGTTAGTCATAAACCCTGATGTCGAGATGGTCTAGGAGATTTGTAGCTCAGGTGAATGATTTTGATGGAGTTTTGTTTGGTCATGGAGCTTTCGTCGTTCTTCTCAACGACATCTTCAGCACAAACTTCAGGTAGAAGTGCTGACGATGAAAGCTCCGTAACCGAACCATCCAGCTCAGAGAAAAAACCATAAAAAAGCACTGATGTTGATAATGTCAAATAACCATGAGATAAGGGTCAAAAGTTTAGAAAATGAAATAGTTATCCATCGAACTACCAATTCATAAATATAACATGGTATAAACATAGAATAGATTGTCTTTTTCATGTTGATTTACTTATTGTTTGAAAATATATGTATATCATCCAAACGGACAAAAACATCAGATTGGTTCATTATTTAAGAGTCTATAATATAGATATTTCACTGAACTCATAAATCATACTTTGGGAAAAATCATTCCATAAGTTACAAAGAAACTTGTGAAATGATATTCACTTTCATAGTTTTATACTCATTACACTCAACACAGACAGATACTCAATGAGTTTATTTTACTTGCTTCTGTTGTGTTTTGGAACAGAAAACAAAAGTTGCTTGAAACTCCTGTTATTTTGATGAAAACAAATTCACTGATGTAAATTTTTAAACTAATATCAGTCATTAAGACCCCTAAGTTTTTTTATTTCTGCAGCAATTTGCATGACTCTCCCGGTCTCCCGCATTGTATGAGCATTCTATATACCTAAATTAATGGTTGGTCTGGTTGTTAGAAGAGGCATCAGCCTCGTGACTTCCGATGAAACTCGGCTATCCCCATAAGGCGTCAAAACTCTTCTAAATGAGGACCTTCTAACTCCCAGGGTAGATTTCAAATGGTTTGAAGTATTTTTCCTAGTTAGCCTTTTTTAGCTAGTTTTCTACGGGATGAGTTCGCCAACCCTATACCCAATCCTCCTCCTTTATTCGGGCTTGGAACCGGCAGTAGCCTCAGAAGGCCTCCAGGTGGAGCTGATTTTTTATGAATAATAAAAACTCGATCATTTTGCTAAGGAGACGCACCTGTTTCCAGTCATTAAGACTAGTTCTCATATAATAATAGCATTGATAGGACCGAATCACAGAATTAGGAATAAGATAATATTATATTATCAGATATTTTTCATCGTTTAGAAATTCAGATAATTTAACAAGTACGCTGAAAATCAATTAACAATGAAAATAACTGAAATGTTATCAAACAATATTTTAGTTAGATACACGGTAAATAACTGGAAAGTGTACGGAATGCAACGAGCATAATACAATGACTTCTAATGACGGATTTTATTTAAAATTTGGAGAAAATCAAATGGATTGTGCTTTTTTTGTTGAAAATCTTAGTTCTAGGGTTACATGTTACAGGACATTAAATTTTCGTCATACAATATATTGATGAGATTAATCAAGAAATACATATATAACAACAAAGGGATTCATAAGTAGTGTATTGTAAAATACATCACATATGCAATTTCTAGTTATCATGAATTCTTTATATTAGAAACTACATTTGTTTTGGTTGATATTAACATCAAGTTTCCCACGAATATTAACTTCTAAGCCTATACAGAAGGGTTATGCTTTACAGTGAAGGTTTCAACAGGTCATATACAATAATACATTTGAAAGATTTACTGATTATTAAAAGGACTAATGACTTAAAATGCTGTTTTTTAAGAAACAGATTTGAATTCGTTTTCTTCTAGTTCCAAAGTGAATTGGAATGTATTAACTCTTTTTCCTAAAGAAAACATGAAACAAATCTGAGGGTCTTTGGTCCGATCACTCGATGGCTCATAGATACACACTCCTGAAAAATTTTATTCTAGAATGCTACAAAAATAGTGGTTTCACGTTTTTATTGGTATCAGTCAAACAAATGCAAATTAACTCTTGAACTGATAATGACTAATTATAATCATCTGACCTAATCCCTTCAATTAGCTACATGGAACAGTCCTGTCAAAAACAGAAAAAATAAACACGATGACTGATCACCGGATAACAAATTTACTCATAACCTAATTTTACTGAATTACTAGTCAGTATAGTATAACTTATTATCTAACCTCAACCATTAAATTTGTACTATCCTTAAAAAGATTAACTGAGAACGTTTTTTCCGAATTTTTGTACAAAGTAAGTTGAATAATCACTAATAATTATCAACTAAGTGATCTTTTTGTAAAGTGGAATCTTGTATTTTTTTATACAGTCTAAATTAGGATGCTCCCACCATTTTCTTAAAGTTAAATTAAGAGAAAATGAATTTGATCTAATTAAACTATAATTTTACTCATTTCAACAAATGACATGGATTCCTCAGACATGTGGCTATCAACTGCATGTGGTTAAGGAATAACGATTAAGACGGTAAACACCTGATTTGTAACTGTTTTTAGTATTCTGTTTTTGTAATGTAATACTGAATTTGTTCAGTCTCTGTCGGCAAACTGGTGCATCGTTTGTGGAATACATGATATAGCCTTCTAGATTGCACTGAAAATAACAATTTAGAAATGTACAGGTCAACATTTCATCTTGAAACTAGTCCATAATAATAATAAGCGGAATGTGATAACTTTTGATAATCATCTACTGATGATCGGATATGAAGGCATTTTCATGTATAATTCTATGATGTTCTGCAAAAATACAAAGTAGCTATTCAGCTTTTTATTACTATTCTTCATAACTCCATAAATCTTAATTTCTAATGTCCACTTTTTGCTTATCATATTTTTATGATCGAAACTTATTTCAAATATCGTGGATGCACACTACTGAGTAGTCCCATACTATGATGAGACGGCCGTCCAGTCCTTCCAGGTTTTCAATGGTGGACTGATGAATTCAACTATTAAGGGATCAATTTTACAGTTTGATATAAATTTTTGTTTATTAATATACAATAGTCATCATGGAAAAAAATACATAAGTTTCCTCTTTTCTTTTCCCGTAACCGTAACTAAAATCATCATAAAAACGAAGCAAAGTGATCTATAAACAAATACATAAGTTTGTCCGTAAATGCACTATGGATCTTTTTTCTAATATTTATATAATTATCTACTTATATTAAAGAACTACAGAACAATTAACAGTCTACTCGTTCCCTTTATCTTTCTTTTCTACTCCGCACACACCATAATCTCCTGAAATGACTATTACTTCAGAACATTTGACTAAAGTTATTTACTGTTTATAAATGATTAGGCTAGTTTTCATGCTGCGT